TATTTTTTAATAATAATTCTTCAATTATATAAAAATTATAATATTTTAAAGTTACTTAAAATAAATACTTAATTTAAATTAAAAAACTATTATACAAGGCTTTGCCATTAAATTTTTCACACAATGAACACATCAGTTTTATGTCTGATAATGAATATAATTTTATCCCGATTGTGAATCATCTTGCAGTGCACACACATAGATTTGAGCAATCAATTCCCTCTTCGTAATTTCTTATCTTGATCCAACTGTAAATGTCGTCTGTTCATCCTTTCAGATCGTTTTATCGTGCCTCTCGTTGTCGACGCTAGCTTTGCCGACGTACGCGCCTTATCAGCCGTACGTTAACGGAGTGCATGGCGGAGGATATTATCACGGACCAGCAGCCCCGTTGGCTCATGACGGTCGGGTGGTTGACACACCGGAAGTGGCTCACGCCAAAAAAGCACATTTAGCAGCGCATGCAGCGGAAGCTGCCAAAACAGCACATTATGGAGGAGGTTATGGAGGAGGATATTACGGGGGCGGAGATGGAGGTTACTATGACGGAGGTTTTGCAGGATACAAGGGCATAATTGCTCCCGCAGGTGGAAGTCACGGTTACTCCGGATATCATGGCAAATATCATGGTCCACCAGCACCGCTCGGTCACGATGGACAAGTAGTGGATACGCCGGAAGTGGCCCATGCCAAGGCCGCGCATCTCACCGCCCACGCTCACGAATTGTCCAAGGTTGCTCATCTATCGTACGCGAACACCTATCCGCACATCTCGTATTGAATCCTTTTATCGTGGAATATACGTTTTCCAAAAGGACCTAATTCCTTATCTGTATTAATAGCGTAAAAGCAGCGACTTCAAAGGATTAAGTGACAACACGTCTTTTTACGCTAGCGGATGTGCAGCTTGGATGAACGTAAATATTTTGTATTCGCACAACATAAATATGTAACGATACAATAATAAAAACGATACAATAATAAAAAAATGTAACATGTGAATAAATAATTTTATATCAGACATCTTCTTCTTATATTTTGCGTGCAAAAATATCGCGGACAAGTACGCGGTTCGTAACTTTAACAATAGAACACCGTTAGATATCAAAAGAGAATTAATAATCCTTCTACGAAGCAATAATATTTCTAAACGAGTTAAAAAATACATTGATTTTAACTTTTAAGTATATCAAAATGTAAATGAATCCATTTCTGTACTTAAATTATAGTTTTATAGTTTCAAAGTAAACAACATCCATATATTAATGCACACATGCACTTATTGTTAGTAAATAGTAAACAAAATTTTAGTAAAATTTTTTCCTTTTTGAGTTAAATTGTTTAATTCTATTGTTTTAATTAAATTTATGATATATTAAATAAGAGCAATATTATAGCGATCTATATAAAAATGATTAAAAATGACTTAAATTGATTAAAAATAACTCAATTTTTATTATAAATTTAAATATCAACATTTCTTATCCACTAAAAAAATCAAGATAATAAATTGTTTTAAAATACAGAAAGCAATGAAAAACTAAATATTTTTTCAGAATATGGAGTCATTATTATATAGCAAAATATTCCTAGCTTTTACAAAAAAAAGAGTATTAATCTAAAAAACAAAAGCAGTCAATAATGATCGCTTGGTATTTCTAATGTTAAATAGAAGAGTACAAATATTAATTATGCGATGTTTTTTTTTCTTTACCTTCGTGCGTTTCTGCCTTTTGAATAATTTATACAACGAGTATAAATGTTTTATTTCACGCGGTTAGACAAACTTTTTCTCGCGGTTCTGCGGTGAAGTGCTGACGACATGCCGAGCTCAATTACGGTTCAGAAGCACGAGTTCGGATGTCGATCGTGCGTATCGATCACTCACGATCGACTGTCACTTCGTCAAGCTCGACTAAACGCCTAAACATGTCGATATTGCGTTGGTGACAAACGCGCAATACCTTTCAGATCAGACGTACCAATAGGGTTCGATCGATGAACTGGGCAAGTGGCCAGTTGCGACACCACCGTCTCCGTTTTAGTTATTCAACAACTATTGTTATCGCCACCTCCTGACATACTATTGTGATTGATATGACACGTGCGGATAAATAAACCCATAAACTGCAGGGTGTAGTGGGTGTAACTCGTTGCGTGATTGTGGCCGGAAGATATAAGTCTAAGATAAAATTGTAAATCGGTCTGGCAAGGAATTATACTTTTTCCTTTTAATAAAATGCTAATGAAAATTTATCGGGAACTTTACCCATTGCATCGTCTATACAGCATTCGAACAAATAAAAACAATTAATTTTTCTTATGTGTGATTGTGAATTTTTAAGTAAAAATTTTTTAGAAAAGAAATATCTATATATATTTCTAAAAAAATTTTTAATATTATTATCATTATTATTATGTTGTAACTAATTAATAATTACTTTTGATGCTTATTATTGTATTATAATTAGCAAACTATTATATTAGTTACTTGATACTTCCAATATTTCAAAGAAAAAATGCGCAGAGCACAAACGACCTAATTTCGTGTAAGGCTGTTAATAAACCTCGCTTCGCGGTACTAGTGTCACTTTGGCGAAAGCCGGTGACTTTAATGACGGTAAACTGTATACGCAGATGACGCGCATAGTTTAACACGGCATAGCCTAGGCACATTTTTATTCTTGACACGACGAGGTCGGGACACGCGTGCTTACGGGTGCCATTGTTAGCGTAAGTAAATGTTACGGGGCACGGCATTGCAGTTAAGGAGAACTTTTCCTGGGTGTGGTTGTTACCCCGCGAGTCGCGCTGGGTCAGGCGGGGCACGGGCAGCAGCAACACGCCCGATCAATGCTCGTACCCCTATAAATTGCACCAGACGCGTTGATGGCAACCGTAATGCGGATCTAAACGTACGTGCCGACAGCCGCAGTGTCTTACCGAGATCTAAGGGTGACGGAATATCTTTGGGATACGGATAGAGTAATCGCCGCAATGATCGGATATTTCGTAAGTACGCTTGAAAACTCGAGGAGAGGTGTTGTGAGATTCCGATGCCCGGAATTCCTCCTAACTGACTTTCTCGCATCTTGACAATTAATATTAAATTCTTACGAAATTAATATTACTTCACTTTCTAAATCTTTTATTATTCTCACCCTTATATAAGAATAAGAATTTTATTACTTCGGAGCTTACATGCCAGGAAGGAACTTGATTTACAATTTTTCTTAAATCTCACACATTTATAATTATAACACACTTATAATGTCTAACTAAAATCCGTTCTAAGTCTTATATATTTATATCGATAATTAATCAATCCTTTATCACTAATATCTCATGTAACTTACTAATTTAATCAATGCCAATATTCTTCTTTTCTATTCTATTGCGAAAAAAGGTAAAGTTCTTCCAATGGAAATTCTATTCAATTTTGTACGCTTGCTTCTTAATATATGTATATTTAAAATGAATGTTAATAAGAAACAATAGATTTGTTTTTATTGCTACACTGGATTGCACTAAAACTTTTCTTTTCGCTTTTGCTAAATTTCAAACATACATCTATTTCACTTTAAGTACAAAGAATGTACACTAGTTCAGCTATAAAAATAGACCTAATAATCATGAAAAGTTAACCAGAAGATAATATTTTATTACATCTTAATTCTTAGATTCTCTTCTCTGCCATGTCAAGCGCGATTCTGGCGGCTCCACAGTGGTACGGACCTCATGCTTCTCCGGCGCCGTTGGGTCCCGATGGTCGTGTGGTAGATACACCGGAAGTCGCGCAGTTGAAAGCTGCTCATTTAAGTGCTCTAGCGGAAGCTAATGCACGGGCACCAAAGGGACCGGGATCCATAGGAGCTTACCCTGGCACTTACCCTGGCGCTTATCCCCAGCCCAGCGGATACTCTTCCGGAAATTATCTTTCACATTACAGGTTCGTGTCAAACATGCGTTTTACTAAATTGGCTCTCTCTGAAGCATCTTCGTAAATTTCTATTTCCAAATGCAACTATAAATTACATTGAGAAAAATGATTTTTATTTTGCCAACAAAACGTATGTATATGATAAAATGTATTTTTTTTTTTGCTGAGATCAAACAGAATTATCGATTGGTTAATTTACTATTATTCACTGTTTTTAATATTCAAAATAAGTAATTTCTAGTATTAAATTGAATTTCTGTAAAAGTTGATAGATTTGACATACACTTACTATAAATTTCATTAATATTTTCAATTGGATCTAAAGTTACTACTTACATTTACTAGATATTCTTTTTACTAAAAAGTTATGCTAACTAAATAAATTTAGTATTATCATTAAAAAATTCTGCTATATTTAACAAGAAGGAATTAATTATTCTCATCTAATAATTTTTCCAAAAAAATTTTCATTTATTTTTCAAGACGTACTGATTGAATCTAATATTTTCATTTAATTTATACAACTAAATGTTTTTCCTAAAAGTGTAAAATCAATTTAGAAAGAATTGTTTTTTTCAAGATTCTATTTTTTTAATACATATAAATTATATGTATTAAAAAAATGATATAATTATATGATATGATATGATATTATATCATATCATATCACATAATTATATGATATAATTAAAACAAGAGTCAATCTAGTCAAATTTAATTCTCTAAAATCATCTGAGTACATCTTGCAGCGGACCACCAGCCCCACTAGGCCCGGATGGTCGCGTAGTTGACACGCCCGAGGTTCAACAAGCCAAGGCCGTACATTTCTCTCTTTACAATGCGGAAGCGCGGCGCGTGCCGACCGGTCCAGCCGATCCAATTGCTGCTGGCGCCTACGATCCATCCTGGAACAATGGTGCCTACAATCCTGCTTGGGACGGCCCGGCCAGCAGTTACTATTAATTCGACTACACGAAAAAATGATCGGAGCGAAATGCATTTCCGCTCGTTCAATGGACGTCGACGATCCCATGAAATCGATCACACGATTAGTTGTGTTGAATCCATCAATGATCCTCGATATCCTTCCCACACGAAAAGAACGGTTTTACTGGCGTATCTAAAAATTTAGATAGAAATTTGAAAATAATTTTGTTGGATCAAAATAATTATGTAAAATGCTCACATAATGAGCAATGTTGGAAAAATTTTAATTTCCAGCTACCACTCATACAGCACAGATCATTTTAATAATGTTGCAGCAACATCCAATAACATTGCAAATGTTGCAACACTTGTTGTAAGCTTCTGCTGTTTTGGCAATTTGAACATTTTTTTATTATTTTAATAGTCGAACAAAATTATTTTGGGATTCCTATTTATAAGCTAAATTTTTAGATATTTCAGTAAAACTGTTCTTTCCGTGCAGCTACCTCAAGAATTGGAAGACTATCACTAAGATATTACTAACTACCTCTCCGATCACTCCGAAATAAATGGTTCTCTCTCGCCGATTCTTCGATAATCTTTTCGCCTGCGATGATTTTGCAGCGTCACACGTTTCATGCATCTCCTATTTATCGCGCACAAATATTCGTACTTCCGATGTATATGTTAGAAAAAATATATATTCTTATGGAACAGCAGTGACATAAAGAGATTATTTATATCGTAATAATTATTCTGTGCTTCTGCATATGGTCCAATCAACCTTTAATCCACTCGACTTGAATGTTTAAAAGATTTAATTTTTTAAATTTATATAATCTAGAGATTCAAATAATCCCTTCCTAAGAATTTATATGCTAAGAGAAATGTTTGATATTTATATGATAATTGCATGATAAGGTACTTATGAATTCCATTTTTATATCTAATTATCATTCTATATACTATTAGCAATAATAATTATATTATAATTCTATTAAAAGAATAAATACTTAGTACCGAAAATTGAATTATAGTTATTGAATTGAATAGTATTAAATTGGTAATTGCAATCATTTTTTCTCTCAGTATATAAATTATTATGTATAAATACATAATAATCTGCGTTGAAAATGTGTTAATTCTGCTCTTCTTCTTTGAATGAAAATATTCTGTCTTACATTCATTCACGGCTGTTTGTGTACAGTATTTATTTCGATATTATCACATTCTACCATTAGTCATCTACTTTTGCGAGAGTGTACGCGACACCATAGATCGTTATCTGCTAAGCCTCATTGTTGCATACCTCGTTAAGCACGATTAATCGCGTCCTTGCTAATGGCACGGGCCGTCTAGGATAACTCGCAGGATAACTGTCTTACGTTATCTCGTAGTTATAGAAACCGGTTTTCTCATCGTTTTCTTCTCGCAATCGAATTTTCATTTCCTGCAATCAAGTGTTCAAAGATGTATTAGTTAATCAGAATCTTTAAGAGTCGAGATATTCGTTGTTTTCAATCTGCACGATGTTTTCTCGCAATGATCCGTAACGATCCGTAACCTAACGTGATTCGAAATTTTCTTGCAAAACACGCCCGATTCGCGGACAACCGGTCATGGATTACTCGACAATCCCTTCAAGGTAGTCCTCTTTTTGGTGTCTATTGCTTCGAAAATTGGCAACGTATCATTGAAAAGACAAAAAAAAACTCAAGGTATAGATTCCTTTTAAGGGATTGAATAATTTCATTAACAAATATTTATCAGTTTCTTTAAACCGGTCGACTTAAATTATTTGTTGTATTTAATGTAAATGTGCTCCTTATGCTCCACTGTTCAAAAAAAGATCTTTCGGCGATAATGTGATATAAAATAAATTATAGTTTTTTTTTTGAGATCAGCAGAATAGCACAAGAAAGAATTATTTAATTTTGTTATGTTTGTTAATAAATATTATTTTTTTGATTTCTTTAAAATAATGAGCTTAAATTAAATCCGCAGTATTCGGTAAATATTCCATTATTTCATCATTTTTTTAAATATATATGAGGATAATTTGAAAAGAATTCTCTGCCTGATACAGAAATGACGCCACGAATATCAAACTATTATAATTTTATATAAGATTGACAGAGCTGCTTTAAAAATTTTGAAATAGACGCGTTTATTAATTTCTTTGTTTCGATCATATAAAGCAATTTTTTATTCCATAATGACAATGCAGCCGCTTACATTTCTTCAACTGTAGTCGCAAAATTGTGAAGTAGCATGAGGAAGAAGATTACTTAATCTTGCACTGAAAAAAATTTTGATCCAATAAATGATAATTCATCAATGTCCGACTTAATGTTAATTCATTGATACAATAACTGGATTCATTTATATAACTACATATTCATTTTGATAATGAATTTTAGCAGTTTTACAACCTAAATCATTATGAGAATTCATTGGACTAAATTTTCATTATTTTTTCTTAATTCAATGAATATTTTATTGTATTTATGTACAGTTTTGGTTCAGTGTATTAACCATATCAAAGCTAATTTCTTAAAAATTGTCAATTTAAATATCGTATTTGATATATTATAAATATATTATAAATTCTTATGTCATTGTTTTGCAATTCCTTTTTGCGATAAAATGCGATACTGGATAGATTTATTCAATTTGAGGTCATCAGAGCAAAGTGAGAAGATTATTTGATCTTGTCCCCATTATAATCGATTCACATCGTAATGTGAGACGGAAGAACTCGGTCGACTAGCTTGCTGATTGTTGCGCAAATCTACGCAAAATGGGGTCTCATAATATGTAATGAGTTAACATCACGGTCGCGAGCGTGCCTGTGATATTCCACGCAGCATCCGCCGATCTCTGTGCGCGCGCCCACAGAATTTTTAGTTCTTCTCAGGTAGGCGTACCATCCGATCTTGTATCTTTATATCGAGGTCAGTTCAAATTACGCAGGGTAAGTAGCGAAGGAGTGGGTAGCGAGGTTGCACGCGAATAAATTTTAGTTTTTTTCTCCCTTGAGATGAACCGCCTTGATGATAGATCGTTTCTGGCGATGCAAATTCGTCAATTTGAGCCCTTGATCTCATGTTTTTTGGCAAATACACTGCAAATCCAAGTGCGTAATAAATGTCTTCAAATAACACATTAAACTGCATACAAAAATTAATTTACGTTTAAATATGTATAGTGTTATCTTTTTCACGAAAAATTAAATCACACATATAGGAGCTCAACGGGTCAAATCGATCTTCTTAAAATTACAAAAATTCTAAGAACAATAATATATGTATATTATTTTTTATTATTACATATTATTTTATATAAAGTTTATCTAAAATAATGTATCACTAAAATAATGTATATACTCTTTAAAACTTTTAGAGCGAATTATTACTCTAAGGAATGAAATCTCACTCTTAAAGATTAAAAATTGAGTCACTCTTTTTCAAGATTGGTTTAATTTTCATTTTTTAGAATAAAATTTTGCTTTAAAGAATTTAGAGAGTAAAAAGATTTCGATGAAAAATTAATTTAAAATAAAAATGCTAATAAAATTTCTTAAGTGAACGCCTATCCCACTCACCCCCTACGTGAAAGTACACTGAAATTGCAATGCATCCATTTCGATTTTCTTTGATTCTCGAGCTTCGTTTTGCATTCAATTTCATTCTTCTTGTATATTCTGCATCAGTTACAAAGTTACGATTCCTGACCTTTTTGCGGCGAGGTATTCGAAATCACGATGTGCTCGGCTTCGTTCTCGAGGAACGAAGCTATTATTCCGCTCCCTTGCTCATTTCTTCTCACGTCTTTCGTACACCGATGACCTATGTGGTAACATTCACAATCGTAACACGATGTGACTATACGTTTCAATAAGATTTACATGATATTTCTTCGTTCCCAGAATTAAATTACTATTAGAGTGTCGTAAACATTATGCATTTCCTGAGAAATATGTAAAACACGTAAAAAATAATAATTATATATATATATTTTTTTTTCAGTAAATTGGTATCTACGTATGCGCTACGCAAAGCACGATGCCGATTAGCTTATGAAACAATGCACCTCTTTTTATTCGACAAGTGTCGCGATTTTGCTTACGTAAAATTGCGTGCTGCATTCGCCGCAAGACGATCGTTACGATACCGTCCCGCGCACCGCAAAACGCAAAACTTTCCTAATCAACGTCCCACGACAACTCGATCGCTCTCTTCTTGCTCTTCCGATTTCTATCTAGATTAAGAAATCAAGAGTTGCGTCACGAATCACCGCGATTTCTTCTACGAGATATCGCACGTCGCGATCTTTCGCGAATTCTTTTCTTTGCGCGCCTTAAAAAAAATGACAAAAAATATTAATTAATTATCTATCTTAATCTAAATTTAATGCTATGGATTAATACAAAATATATAAAAAGAAGTCAGTACGAGTTTCTAATTCGCAGAAGTTAATTAAATTGCATTAAATTGTGTTCGACGAATCTTTGCAATCTTAATTAATAGTGGTAAAGAAACGTTTTAGCCTTACTTAAATTACGTTAGACGCAACGCAAGATCGAGAAGTAGGCCAGCATAAATAGAACTTTATTAAAATTTAATTGCCTATTTGACGTTATACGATGACGAATTAGAAATACTAGTCATCGTATTATATTTTGTAATCATGTAAACTGTAAAATATTTTACACACAATACGCTCATTAATTCACAATAATAAGAATAATCATCTTGTACCTCTCATTTTTAATTTATATATACGAATAGATATAAAATTTAGTTTAATTTAATCAGGAAGTTATTGATTGAGTAATAAATCATTATAAATAAAGAGGAGAAAAAAGAAAGATAGGAATTGGGAGAGAACAAGGTTCGTCCATTCCTTCTATTAAGTCTTTTTTGCAGCAGTCTTTATATATCACAATCTTCGAAATATTTAAAAAAGAGAGATGTACAAGCGAGTGACCTGCGTCGCGAGAAACATGATAAAATTCGTAAAGATAGGAAAACAATTTATTCATCTAGAATATGTACAGGCACCGGAACATGTTGATCGACTGTGATCCGCTAGGTTTAGAAATTTCCTATCAGATGCTGGGACTGATAATGACGAGGCTGAAAACCTGACGGATTGTACACTTGTTGCGTGGCGTAAGGCTGAGTTCCCGGATACGAAGATGCTGGGAATGCTCGCGGAGCGCCATAATGTCCTAGATTGGCGGGAGCAGGACCGGATGGAGATCCATAAGCTAAAATAATAATAGAAAATACCGTTTAAGAGAATACTCGATAGTTTCAAAGAATACGTATATATTAGCAGTTACTTATTAGAGTAACTCAGGAAGGAATAAAGGATACAACAAACTTAATATTTAGAATAATTTCTTGTAAAATAAAAATATTCTATTCATATTTTTTCTATTAATTTACTTCTTATCTTAAGGATGTAAAAATAATTCATTTCTTATAAAATTAAAATATTGTTTAATGCTCTATTCATACTTTTTAATCAGTTTATTTTTTATCGTAAATATAAAAAAATAATTTATTTCTTTTGTAGAATAAAAATATGTTTCAATATTCTATTCAGATTTTTTCCACATTATTTATAACTTATTTTATCTTATAAATAAAAAAATGTCATATTTTTACGTTGCTGAAAATCTTCAATCTCTAAACTCTTCATCCACTTTTTC